GAGAGAATGCCAAGAGTGTGCAAAGCAGTAATCAGAGCAAAGGGTGGCTATTTTGAAGAAACTAGAATATAAAACATGTTTTCAGTTATTTCACCTTTTTTTGTTAAGTACATAACTCCACGTGTTCATTCATAGTTTTGATGCCTTCAGTGAGAATCTACAATGTAAATAGTCATGAAAATAAAGAAAACGCATTGAATGAGAAGGTGTGTCCAAACTTTTGGCCTGTACTGTATATATATATATATATATAATGTCTAAGACATTTCATTTAAATGTCTTATTAAGACACTTAAGTTGTATTTTTAACTATGATTGAATGTTGAGATGAATGCTGGACCCTGGCATTCGTCCAGGGTTTTGAAATATGTCTGTTTTTTGGGCTCTCCTAGCCTAGTGGTTTAAGACACTGACCATGTAATCACAACATCCCTCTTTGTGTCCTGCTGCAGAGCTTTGTTGTCTGGGAAGTGTTAATGGTTGAGCTATGTGGACTCTGCATATTGCCCTGTAGCTGTCTTCTCAAAAATGTAATTACACATTATGACTCAAATGGCTTGGGCTGCTTGTGTTTTCTCACTGTCATGCTTCTGATGGCGGTAAAGATTGTATATAAAGAGGACAATAAAAAGGAAGTCGAAAAAAGCTCAGTAGGGCCTACTCTCCTTTCAAGTAACACACATCCAGCAGACACATTTCTGCTGCAAACCTGCTCACTGGTATCACTGTTCTCTATCACAGTGAAAGAATCCAAACACAGTTACTGTTAGTTAGTTACCTCAAGAAAGACAAAAATAAATGTGTACAGTTTTTGGGGCAGACCATGCAGTAGAAGAAGGGAGCTGACTTTTAATTCACTTAGCTGATGTATCCTACAAGGGTAGACGCTCTTCCTGATCCTCTCAGTGCTGGTCTGATCTCAATACTACAAGTTCTGGCTGTCAGAACTCAGCTGCATCAGTGCACCCAAATCATTTTCACATTAGCACTGTAATTTTCCATTTATATAAGCAGTGACATGCTGCTCTGTAAGGGCCATAAAGGAGATCAATGCTAGCTATACTGTCAGGCTGAGGTGGACAAAACACAACAGAGTAAAGATCTGCATTTGATCAGATTTATTTTAGCCGACACTGATTCATTTAAAGATACATGGATCAGCTTGGAACATCTCTGTATGTGTATCTATGTGAGTGAGAGGCTGCGGTAAACTAGCTGAAAGAGCCAATAATGTTGTGTGTTTGGTGTACTTTTCATAGATGCCTCATTGATAATATTCCAGAAATACTGAAGCAAACTAAATTCATATTTAATTTAAAAAAAAAGTCTTAAAGGGATAGTGCACCCAAAAATGAAAATTCAGCCATTATCTACTCACCCATATGCTGACGGAGCCCCTGGTGAAGTTTTAGAGTCCTCACAACACTTGCGGAGATCACCTAATGGCTGACGGCGCCCCAGACTAATGTCCAAGAACACAAAATTGAATCCACAAAATATCTCCATACTGCTCATCCGTAGTGATCCAAGTGTCCTGAAGCCCCGACATAAAAAGTTGTTTGGAAAAACGTCATATGAACTCTGTTTTTAGCCTCACTGTAGCCTGTAACTCTGACTGCTTCTCTGTGCTCCGCGTTCACATGTGCGCGCTCAGGGTGATCGGTGATGCACGGTCTCTGAAGAGCAGCAGTCTCGTCAGTACTGATGTCCAGATTCTCAAGTGTAGGTATCGCCAATTCCCAGTCTGAGCAGCAAAGACTTTCCTCATCTGTTGGTATTGCTTTGCTTTTGAAACCCACCAGGTTTCCAGTGCTTGACTCCGGTATTCTGCGGCTGGCTGAGGGTTAGGCTCATGAGCTGTGGTGGCCGCTTCGTCCAGTAGCCTGAGTTCCGCGTCCGTATACTCAGGCTCAAACAAATAACGGCTCAACAAAGAAATGCTGTTCCTCCTCAATTTCAAAGTCTTCAGACATGTTGGGCTGTCCTTTGCTAAAAGACCGTAGTGCAAATTATCTTTTAGCTCTATGGTTACTGCTGTCTCCCCCTGCGGTGCACGTGTCACGTGATGTAAACACCGGTAAGCAAAGCTCATGCTTTCGCTGGTCTAGCGCAAGCGTGCACACGTGAGCACGGATCACAGAGAAGCAGTCAGAGCTACAGGCTACAGTGAGGCTAAAAAGTTCAAATGACGTTTTTCGAAACAACTTTTTATGTCGGGGCTGCAGCACACTTGGATCACTACGGATGAGCATGTTGGAGATACTTTGTGGTTTCAATTTTGTGTTCTTGGATGTTAGTTTGGGGTGTTGTCAGCCATTAGGTGTGCTAGCCGCTCCCCCCGCCGATCTCCGCAAGGGATGTGAGGACTCTAAAACTTCCCCAGGGCCTCTGTAGGCATATGGGTGAGTAGATGAAGGCTGAATTTTCATTTTTGGGTGCACTATCCCTTTAAGTGTCTTTGGATTTACCTTGAAATTGGTGAGCTGTAGTAACTGATGTCACCAGCAGAGGGCAGCACACTACTCAACAAAAATGATGCCTGCAGTTTTGAAGCTGCTTCAAAATTTGCTCTGGATTTCTTAAAGCAGGGATTTCTTCAAACTCTTAGCTGTAGTGGTGTAGTGATAGCTGATAAGGGCGTACTACCAGGTAGATAGGTAGGTTACTGAGGGGGCAGTGGGTAAACTCTCTGATATATTTCAGTGATGCATGTATATTGTATGAGGGCAAAAAAATAGTTGGGTATATACCATATACCAGTGTATACCCTCCACTACACCACTTCTTTGCTGAATATAAAAACTGTAAGTTGCTGATGCTGATACCTGCTGATTTTATGATCATGGTCACCTTTCAAATGCAATTCAGTAGACCACATACAGAAATAAGTGAGCATGTGACAGTTCATATAGCTGTGGCTTTCAGAATTCACAGAATTATATTGTATCAATGCCGCTGTTTACTGGAATAAACGTACATTCAATTGACTGTAATAATAATAATAATAATAATAATAATTATGTCTAGTCCATACCTATTGAGTGCACAGTTGCCCATGTACAGTTTCACATGGTGTGTGTTTGGGATACAGGTCATAGGAAATTGCAGATTAAATAGTCAAGTGAACCCATTAAGAAGAGCAGTGTATTCAGACAGAGTTTTTGTGAATTTGATAGTCTGATTGCTTTATTGAAAGTACAGTAGTACCATTGCCAATAGTGGGATAGTTAGTGGGCTAAAACTGTACATTAGTAGTTGAGGTAGCATGTTGAAAAGCAGATGTTTATATGCTGTATTGACTTAAAAGTGGGGAAGTAATGACAGAATGACACACTGACAGTTTGCGTGATTATGCACAGCATACCATACCATGACTTAGTCATACCAAAAATTAGAAAAACAAAAACATTGGTCCACAGGGGGAGCCACAGCGATCGGTTGCATTTTAGCCATTTTTAAGCATTTTTCTGTTGTTATAGCGCCACCCAGTTGCCAATTAGAGTTGAATTTCTCCAGTCACCT